TGGGGGGGGGGGGTCAATAGACTGCACCTACATTTATGCATACAATAATTATCCTGACAGTCTCTTATAGAGCCAACTGTCATCTAAAAATCTGTAAAATCCGTGAATTTTAATTAGGCCTTTTATTATTAATATTATCAAGGCTATAAGTATAAGAAATATTACAAGATTTCGCAGTAAGCATACAGGCCTACTCATATAAGCTACTAATAATGCTTTGTGTTTGCATAAGACATCCCTGTAGTTGTAAAATTGAACATGACATATTGATAACACACTGTAGTCAGTAATTCGTCTTTCCGTGCTGGTGACGTAATTATTTCCACCGGGCAGAACCCCCCCCCCCTCATTACTGGGGAAAAAATTGAGCCGTCGTTTGATTTTTTTTCCGTTTAAAAAGGGGTGGGGGGCAGTATTAGTAGTGATACCAAACTGTGGTATTATAATTACGATCGCTGAGGGTAAAGAGCTGCTTTGCCAGTTCTACCAATATTTTTTTAAATGCCGCTGACTAGCTCTGATAAAATACGTCCACATCCAACGTTCCAGTGCAGTAACAGTGGGATCATGTATTTTATTTTAAAACCATATCGTCTCTAGTTTTCCCCATTTTCACAATCGCCGCGGTTCAAGGGAACAAAACTACGTCACACGCTGTGTAGCAGTCAAAGGGGATGGCAGTGAATAGTATAAATATTACCGGTGACGCAGCTAACTAGGTCAGTGTGACACACAAAGCAACAGTAAGACAATCATCGCCATCAATACCATACTTTGCGGTGATATTTTTATAACCTTTGTCACTCCGACCAACCCCCCACCCATGTGTCCCGTATGCCGCAGCTCTCCTTCATTAATAACCCCCACCTCCCCTTTCAGTGCGCACATAATATAATGAAGGATGGCCCCAACTTTAAAAAAAAATTACAACCAATCGTTTTTCTCGTTCCATTCACTGCCAAATTTTTATTGGAAAAGGCTAGAACTTCAACAAACGAATTTTAATCGGAATTTTTTTTTTTTTTTCACCGGCTCTCTGAAAATCGTAGTTTTGGCGGGTCTCGGCGTACAATCGTAAAAGACATCTCAAAATCGTACATTGTACGCCAAAATCGTAAGAGTAAACAGGTCTGCTTCAAGGTCTTAGGAGAATATGTATGATTATCTTTTAACGTATCATTCATGACACGTAATTATAGAATTTATAACATAGTTGATTTTCCCATCTGTAGTCCCTCAAGTGTGAGAAATGAAGTTAGACTGACCTGCACCAGAAGTAAGTCTTTAGAAATTTCTCCACCTGGTTGAGGAGACTGCTCATCATCTGAATCATCCAGTAGGCCATATTTTGAGAAATGGCTGACCTGCAAAAGACCAGGTTGTTCATTTAAATAGTAAAATATTTTTAAAAAACAACTGTAGTGTACATTTTTTAATTCAATTTTAATAGAATACACTTTTAGATAGATAACTATACAATAGTTACAATTTCAATTTTTACAATAATAATTGAACAATGAAATATTGAGAGAATTAAAGACTTCAAATATTCTAGGTGTGTGTGTGATGATTTTATAAGACTTAAATGACAGGACAAGAATTAGACACAAAATGTATCTAAAAGTAAAGCTTAGTTCTTTTCACAGAAATATGCTAAACAGTGAACAGAAAACAAGTAACCAAATGACAACAAAATATATGGATCAAAGGAAATTCATACTCTAAATAAAGCTTACTTGGAAAACCCAAGAACCTGTTTCAGGTCTGTAGTCGATGAACTTTGCTCCTATTTTCGCTGTTGTTTCTTCAATCCGTTCAGTGTAGTTGATAGACTTCAATCTTTCGGGGCTCTACATATAATTTAATGAAGCAAATATTTAAAAAATGACCATACTTCAAATGAAAGTGTAAATGTAAGTTTGATAATATGTCAACATTTTAGTAATGACACCTAAGTAAATACACAATTAAGAAGTTTGACCCACTTTGATAGGAGTTTTGTTTGATTTATCTGTTGGCCACACAAAGTCCAGTGTGACCTCAGCCTTTTTATTTAACCCCTGACCTAGGGGTGGTTTCTTGTCATCATCTGGATACACGACTATTTCTTTTCGTCTAAAGTGAACTGACAGAAATAAGAGAAATTGCACATTACCAGAAAGGAATGTGTTTCAAAGTGTGAAATTTACATGATTTGCCCCCATAACATAAATACTTATTTGATTAATAAATGTTTTAATTTTCCATTATAATTATGGTGGTGGCAACATACTACCTACCAATGTCATCAAGATTTAGACCAGCCACATTTGTTATACCAGGGAAGAAAACATTGCCAAAGCCAACTCTTCCAATAGTGAGATCTTCAACAAAACAGTCCCCATTTTCATCAATTAAGTTGATCAATTCATCCAAGGACGGAATGGTGTAGTAGCCAGGACGAGTCAGTGTCACACCTGTGGGATGTGGGGTGCTCCTGTCCACAGGCTGAAGAAGTATTTAAGCTCTATGAACTTTCTGTGATCTTAACATCTCTACATGAGCAATAAAAAATGTATCCACAGAAAAATCTAAGGATCTATATGAATTAAAAATGTATTTGAAAACTTTTCTGCCAACAGATAAAGTAATATATATATATATATAAATAAAATCCCTAGAAATATGAAGTAGGCTTACCAAACAGCTGTTGTCCAGATCAGAGGTGTCAAGGAAAGAAGTAGTAGTATCAGCAGCAGTGAGCCTGTTGTTGGTATTGGTCTTACCATTCAAGACAGCAATGCTGTCATCTAGGCTCATGTCTCTGCAACAATAGAATAGATATCAATAGACCCGTTCCTTCATGTCAAGTAGATTAAAAAAATGGTGTGCACTATATTAGCAATACTCCGTATGTAATAAGTGGAATTAACAAATACGCTTAGAGAGCAAGTCAGTTTTAGCTTATTTTAATAACAGGACATTGTTTTAAAAGCAGAAATAATGCCGTCTGTAATTCATAAAGACCAAGAATAAGAACAAAAGTTAATAATTTTATGTTAAAATCATTATTGTTAAAACTAGTATCTCACATGCAGACTTAATCTTGCATTTTTACATAAAGGTTAAGAACCCCTTTAAAGTTAAGAAAAATCGAAGTTTCATTGCTGTAAATTACAATCAAAATTCTTAAGCCTTTTCAAAAGAGCCTCACATATTAAAAAATATACTAATCTGATGGATATTAACACAATTACTTTTTAACCCAGAATATACAAGTTTTAACACATATAATCACGCACCCCTTCCAAAAAGAAAAATAATTTCATGCTCAAAATATTTACTGGTACTAAAAAACTAAGCGGAAGAAACAAAAAATTTCATACTCCAATGATTTTTTTGAGTCATTATGGCAGACATTAGTATTGAAAAATTATTTAAACTTACTGATGAATTTGAATTTTCCTATTAGGCGGGGTATTTGGTCTGTGAATGATGGCTTCTGCTTCATTGTCTATTGAGTTATCATGTTGTTGCAATACATTCAATGCCCTGTATAACACATGGACCATTAAAGTATCATTACATCTTAAATAAATGACATTTTATCTAAAAACATAAAAAGTTAAAAAGTGCAAAAGATAAGCATAACATTTTAATTATGCAGATAGAGGCCATGTTTCCTGCATGCTCTCCCTCACCACCACCACAGCAGCTCATTGCTTTGTTGCTTTTTAGGGCCAAAAAATCCCACAAAAAAAAACAAAAAAACAACAGAGCTGACAAAAATGGCATATGACATAAATGATAAGGTTTCAATCAAACTAATGTTTAATCAGATAGAGTGACAGCCAAATTACCTTGTGATGGGTACAGGTAATGGACTCTGGTTATTGCTAGAATCATTGAGCTGACTGAAGTCACCACCAGGATCGCTGTAAACTGAAGCTGAGCTTGAAATAGATTTGTTTCCCGATCCTTTGCGCAGAACCAGCTTTTTGACACTCTTGCGTGGGACAAATGTGTCCTCACCATTGCTGAAATCCTCATCCTCGAGTCCTTCAAATAATTTTGCCTACAAGCAAATAAAAATATTAATTAACAATTCTGCAACACATTAAAAGGTAAAGTAGAACAGGATTGGTGAAAGCTTAAAAGTAAATGACAGAAAAATCAAATGAGCATATCGACTAGAAGCCTTTCTCAGAAGACAAACAAGAATTGAAAAAGAATGAGAAAACTTGAACTTAACTTGCCAGTAGCTAGCATAATATGATAGTGACAGGGTGTGATATATTACATTAAAGGGGAGGTCAGGAAAAGGAGTGGGAAAGAGAATGGGACAGGCATGACCATGTCAACAGTTACTCTACAATATCAAGAATGAAATGAGAGGATGTTATTGTTCTTATTAGGATGGATATAAAAAAAAAATCTTCCTTGTTGTGAACAAGTTGTATAAATAGTCAGCTGTACCTTTCCTCCAGCAATGAGGTTATGTAGAGATTTAGGCTTAATTTTTGTTGTTGGCCGAGGGCTGACTTTGTACTGGTTAGAAGATGAGAGCATAGCTTTCTGTGCATTGGGATTGGTTGGTTTTAAGGCTTCCTCTCTTCTCTCTTTACTCTGCTGCAATAAACAGATGTAAGTATCAGTTTTGAATGAACATAAAGTATATACAACAATTCATGGATTATTTATGAATTAAGCTTACTTCTTACAAATACATTATTTGTACCCTTACTTGTTTTAAATTCCAAAACAATGGGTTGTCTCCATAAGGTGAGTTAGCCAGAGCCAAGAGATGCTGGGTATTTTGAACTTGGGGGGGTGCAGTTGATCTATAAACAAAAATTAATACAGATGCCAGAAGACATTAACAAAAAGCACATAAATGACAAGTAAGGCATGTTTTTGTTGCTTGTTAGTTAAGAAGCTACTCAAGAATGTACTTACTGTGCGCCTAACATGGAAGTCCCAGCACCAAGACTAAATGTTCCAGGGTTAGAGCCTGTGTTTAGTGTGCTGCCAAAACCTGCATTAAAACATACAGATGCAACAAATCATAACAATATAATCAAAATGTAATTGAAACAAGGCAACAACAAGAATTACTAAAGCATTAAAAATGCCAATTAGTGAGGTGAGAATGAAAGGTTTGTTTCTATCCAATGATAACAGTCTACCTGTCAATCTATGGTTACAATCTATCAATCAATCTATTGTACGAAATATGTGAAACTAGGTATGGGAAAACTTGAAAAAAAAAAGGGTGAAACAACACAAAGAACGTGTCAAAATAGCCGCCCACAGTGAACAAAAAAGTAACGACAATATAAAAATTAAAAATAAACACAGCTAAAATGTTCTATCCTAGAAGACAGAAAGAGGAATCTATGGGAACAGCCTACCAGTCAATATATGGTGAACGCATACCTGTATTTCCTTGAGCAGCAGTTCCAAAGTTGAATGCCCCAAATGCAGGTTTGGCAGCAGTTGCTCCGAATCCACCTGTGCTTGTCCCGGTGCCAAGCCCTGCTCCAAATCCGATTGAAGGTGTTCCAGTACCCAAAGCAGTAGTGGCAGCTCCAAATCCAGTAGGTTTCATGCTGAATAAGCCACCAGACGTACCTAATTAAAAGAGATCAATGATAACATTGTTTAACATACATATTTTTTATGTAGTTCACAAAAGGGCTGTCTTTCTGGACTTGTATAGTCTTTATTCAGGATCCCACCCTAGTAGCAGAAATAAATAAGGGTAGAATACGCTAGGCAGGAAAAAGCATCAGTTAGGTCTGAGTGGAAGGAAGTAGTGAGGCAGGCCAAAGCCCTACATGGGCTGTAGCACCACAGGGATGGATGAATAACATTGAAAGATTTCAAACATAATAACTCCATAATTACATTGTTTATGATAACATACTTCCAAATCCAGTTGTACTAGTATTTGTTCCAAAACCCCCAGTATTTGCATTTGTACCAAAGCCACCAAATGTCGATGCAGTAGAGGCAGGCTTGGCAAATAAATTTCCTCCTGCTCCAAATCCAATGGATGATGTAGTTTGTGTTCCAAATCCAATGGATGAAGTTGTTGCTGTGCCAAATCCTGCTGGCTTTGGTGCTCCAAACAAGCCACCCTGTGGTGCAAAAAATATAGCGGTATATAATGATGAAGACCTAACATTTTTGGATTACAAATTATTTTGCATTCATGGAGGAGGGACACACTAGAGCTCTTAAGATGATCTCAGGTTTTTTGATTATCTTTCTGTTGCTTTAAAATTTAGTTTTCCGTTCCAGGGAGTGGTATAATGACTTTTTATAAATTCCAACATTTTTTAACATTCTGCAGATCGTTTATATTTCTTTCTATCAAAAATAACCATATATTGCTGACATAAGTTGAGTCATTTAATTATCCCATGCGTATCAATTATGAACAATAACTATAACAATTATTTTAACAAAAACAGTGTTGCTTACACTTTGTGTATTGGTTCCAAATCCAATAGGATTAGAGGTTGAAGTCTGAAAGAATGAACCTCCAGAAGGTTGGCTAGTTCCTGTAGTACCAAACAGGGGCTTTGTAGAAGAAAGCATTTTTAAAGCATTTAAACTCTATTGAAGAAACACACAAAGAATTACAATCAAGTTTTTAACCTTTAAGTCAGTGGTTCTCAAAGTGTGCTTCCTCACAATATATAACAAAATATTCTTAATTTTCCCCCATTTTATTTTAATGTGATAGGACGCTACACCTAGCAGACATGATCCAGCCCAATAACTCACTTTGTAATAACTTTTAGAAGTAGCCTTTACAAACAGTTACTAGATGGCGCTCTACAGCAATTAAGTGTATAAATTTTAACAGAATCATAAGTCAATGGATTAAAGCATTATTAACTAGCTGTCTTGTGACAATTAGTTTACAATAAAATATGGGAGCATGGAATTAAATGAGTTTTGGATATCTTTAAAATGTGAATATTCCCTTCTGAATGATGAAGCTCTAAAAATTCAACCCCATCTGTGACCTGTCAAACCGTTCAAACCTGAGTTTTTGGCTGTCAATGTCATAAAACTTAGCATCATGCAAAAAAAATCAGAAAAAATGTGATGTGATCAACAAGCTCATCCATTCTAGTTTTATGACATTTTTTTTTATTTTTATCTTGAATGTTTTGTAATTCATTTTTACCCAACACTTAAATTTTTTTTTTTTTTTAAAGTCTCATTTTGTTGTGAACTTAGGCTTGTGGCACATTGGGGAAAAACCAGATTCAGCAAGGGTTCAGAGAATAAGAAAAGTTTGGGAACCACTGGCATAAAAAGAAACCATTCATAATACCCCATACACTTTTCATCTGAACCTGTGAATGTCCCTGTGTGTGATAAATTTTATCAAAAAGTTTATTACATTACTCAAAAGTAAATCCAATCTTGAATATTAATGATGAGTCAATGTGAAATGGATGTCTTTTGGACTTAATAAAAAATTTGAAATAAAATGTTAAACGAAAAAGATAATCACAAATATACAGGACACTGTCTTAAAACTTACCTTAGCAGCACTAGCACCAAACAAAGAAGTGGACTGCTGAGTGCCTGTTGTGCTACCAAACCCACCAAAGCCTGACTGGGTTGTAGTGGCTGTCCCAAACAAGGATCTATTCTGGTTGAAAGTTGAGGCTGTTGACAGGGTACTTGTATTTCCAAACCCTGTCCATACAAGGATGAAAAGTTCAAATAAACAGCACAATTTTTTTAAAAAAAATTGTAGAATCTTAAAAATAGCAAATAATAACAGTATGTCCATATGTTCTTTCAATAAAATTACCTCCAAATCCTGTTGTGTTGGAGGGTTGCAGTGTGGAGCCTAGGCCTCCACCAAACACAAAACCACTTCCTGCTGTGGGTTGGGTCCCTTGTGTTTGGCTGAATAACCCCCCAGTGCTTGTTGAGCCTGCCTGTTTGGCTTTGCGATTTGCAGTGTAATCTTCAAACCTGAGTTCCTAATAAAATTATATCAATGTGTCTCGATGATTGAGGTAACACAGAGAAAAGAATGGATTCAGTGGATGATAAGACACAAGTCAGTTGATTTAATTATTGTTGATTAAAGGATCAATAATAAAACTTAAAATGACTTCAGTAACTATGAAAATTCCACTCATATAAATATTTAAATTGTAAGACCTTGAACCCCAGTACCTCTAAACATTTGTTTTCGTAATCCTTCATGGCTGTGATACACTGGTGTCTTGTATTAATATTAGTGGTCACACCACTTTTCATCATTGTGTCTTGACCAGGGGGTGGATTGAAAGGAATTGTGGTGCCCCCACTAGCCGCAGCAGCTGATGCACCTCCGAATGCCCCAGTGGCTGATGACTGGCCAAATAAAGATGGGGTTGCACTTCCTGTGTTACTCCCAAACAATCCACCAGTGCTACTTCCAAATAAGCCACCAGTGCTTGTGCTACTTGGGGTGCTCCCAAACCCTGTAGATAAGGTAAAAATGTGAAAAATGTAAATGACATATACATTGTTAAATTTGAGACAACAATAAATATGTGCATAAAAAAATCAGCTAAATGATAGAATACACCAACCCCAGTACAATAGCAAAGAACAGCTGCTGAATGTTCACATGTCCTTTACCCATGGCCTTGGGCAAAGGGCACTTAAACCAAGTAGCTGCTGGATCAGGATGGTAATGAAGACAACTATTGTGTCACTTAAAGATATACAATTACTAATATTTAATAAATTTTGACATATAGATATAAGAGACCCCCATTTCCTACTTACCTGAAAATCCAGGTTTAGCTCCAAAAGCATTTCCAGTTGTTGGTGAGGAGAAAAGAGAGCTTGTTCCAGTTTGGCTTGTACCTCCAAATAATCCACCATATGCATTACTGCTGGGTGTACTACCAAATGCTGTTGCTAAAATTATTTTTAAATATAAATAAATGAAGTCACAATTTATTTGAAATACTAATTTCATAAATAATATGCATTTATTTTAAGACATCATAATTTACAAATACTATTGGATACATTATTTTTCCAAACACGCCTTTGTCAGTCAATGATATTTATTTTTTGTGGCTTATGCATTTAATATTACTGCAGCTGGAATTCACATTTTTAAAAAATCAGAAACAAAAGAAACAAGAGGTTATGAACTTGGGAAAGTAAGAGATACATGCCATAATTAGCTTGTGACAGGCTTTTTATAGTGACAACAATAGTTTCCTACAACTATGCACTCATGTCAAATTTTAGAGCAAATAGAAACTGAATGGAAACTCAGGGGAATAAGAGACTTATTTCAAACATAAGTAGCATAAACTTAATAATGGGATTTAAAATTTTCTCTTCATTTAAGTATGAACTCATGTTTTCATTTTATTATTTTTTAAATTGTTTTTTTAAACTGAGTTTTTGTTTTGTTGAAAAGATGCTTGTCCTGAGTTATGCTTTAACCTTCTTGAGACGAAATCTTTTTGGATTTTTGGTGCCAAGATGATGGAGCCAATCTCACAAGTACTGCACTTACTTGGCAAAATGTTTAAATTAAAAAATAAAGTAATTAATTTACAAATATAAAACTAAATATCTTATTGTAGGAAATTGAATGAGCTAATATGATCTTTATGAATCAAACTGAAATCTTAACATTTATGCAAATGAGTTACCCTGATTTGCATAATTAATGCATGTATATTTTTAACACTTAGAATAAACATGTCTTACTTGCAGAATTTTCTGATTATTGAAGCCTTTATAAGTCATAACAAACATTTTAATGACATCTAATGTGAAAAACTGCATAAATATTCCACTGGAGGTTGCTTGTGCCTTTTGGCATATTAAATTATTAAAAGGTCATGTATTTTATAAAAATTTATAGGAGTCACCAGGTGCAAAAAAAAAAAAAAAAAATTTTTTTTTATAACATTGACAGAACAATGTTAACTATCAATGGCAGCTGCCATTAAAATGACCATATGAGAATGAAATGCAAGATTGCATATTAAATTATTAAAAGGTCATGTATTTTATAAAAATTTATAGGAGTCACCAGGTGCAAAAAAAAAAAAAAAAATTTTTTTTTATAACATTGACAGAACAATGTTAACTATCAATGGCAGCTGCCATTAAAATGACCATATGAGCATGAAATGCAAGATGCAATCTGATTAGCTGGTAGGAAGACCACCTGACCAGTTAGCAAACCCTGTGGCTTGTAATACTGTGTCAATGTCTTTTTCATAATTCGACTCTTGGGTAGATAGATTGGGCCAGGCGCCTCAAGGGAATTAAAAATAAGGCCCATTATTTGCATGCATGTCCGGGCTCAAGAGAAACGTTTACATTTGTATTTTGTATAATCATCATTTAAGCTGTTTTATTTACACAAACTGTGAGTGTCTAATTAATCTGGCTCAAGAGAAGCAATGTTCATTGATGATATTTAAAGATTTTATCACTTCAAGTAAAAGAGTAAAAGGTTTTAATCATCATGGCACAAACAAAAATACAACTTACACTGGCCAAATGATCCAAAAGTTGCTGTAAGAACAATAATTAAAACCAGTATAAACAAAGCATGTAACTTAGAATGTGATACAGACATCAAACAAAACTAAAAATGAAGGTGCTAAAATATGTTTAAAATTAATTTTTATAAACATCCCTTATATGTGATACAAGCGGTAAAAGGAGACTTTTATAAGTTACTATTTTATTTTATAAAAGACCAACTTGATTTTTATTTTGCTTTAATAAGGAAAAAAAAAGGAAGCAAATCATAGTTAATGTTGGACGGTTGGATGTGTAAAAGTTATATAGTCAGTTTTTTGTTGCTTTTTTTAAATCTTTGTGTAAATCTCTTGACATACTTATTAAAAAAAAAATTTTAAGTTTGCAAAAACAAATAAATAAAATCAACTTCTATAAGGCCTAACAAACAAGACAACTTACAAGTCGATGTTCCAAATCCAGTGAAACCTCCTGGCTTATTTTGCCCAAACATATTTAAAGTAAGATGCTAAATTCTGAAATGCCAATGATATAAATGTAACATTTTATATTCAACAATAATGTGTTTGGCACCTTATTATTTTAAAATTTAGCCTTTAGCTTTAAGACTTACTTAACTTAGAAGCTTTAACAATAGGTACTACACTAAAAATTTCAAAGTTGTTATATATTAATGAAACTTATATCATTAGAAAGGACTCAGTATTTCCTTTCCATTGATACCTATTTTATCTTTCTATCTTAAGTAGAACAAAAGTTATCGCATTTTTAGTGTCAGAATTTTTCCTTATATAGCCTTAGTAAATATTTTCCAAAATTCTGTGACCGAAAAAAGACATCTTTGACACTCAAAATGCGATAACTTTTTATTCAGCAAAGTTAAAGCTTTGAAACTTGCAACGCATTTCAATTAAGTTTTTGGCTTTAATAATAAATCATTGTTATGCAAATAATACAATAAACATATTAATGTGTGCGATTTGACGAACAGAGGGTACGTAAATTTCATTAAAAAC